TTTCATCTTCTCATAATTCTCCTTCATGTTCTGCAGCTCTTTCTCAGTCTCAGCACTCTTCAGAAGAGGCTTGATCTTGAAGTAGAGTTTCAGCCATGGCCAGTTTTTCACATTCATGAAAGAACGAATGTTGTACTGGATTGCGTAGATGGACTCCCTAAATGACAGAAAAAATATTTTCATAACGCACGTGGCTTCAAAGTAAATCTGCAATTATATGGACATATGATGTACAGTAAGTTGTTTAGTAAAAAATAAATTTTTACATCAATTTTTCTTCTGACTTCTAGCATCTATTTTGCAGCCTACATAAAATATTGAGGACTGTACTTATATTTTCAAAATTTCTTACCTCCTCTCCATCATCTTAACAAACTCCTTCCTCATCACATAACCTCTGCAAAGAGCCTGAGTCATGGTCACCAGTGAAGCCAATTTCTCATCTCTCATCTCCTCAAGAGTACCCAGCAGACCAGCTTTGAAGAACACCTGTGTTGTCACAGCAAAATTATCACCTGTTAGCACATGTGAATACTACTGAGCATATTTTTGCTTATAACTTTTTATATCTTTTGAAAATGTACCTTTGTGTGTCCAAATCTGTACTGAGTGTGGTCCACATCAATGGAGCCCAGCAGCTTCTCTGAAGCTTTCTTGTTGTCAATAAATTGTCCCTCAGGGATGACACTGGCATTCAATACTTTGTATCTGAAAATGTATAATAATAAAGTTTAGTTTTTTTCCTATCAGGACTACTTCACTTATACATGATAAAGTGAAATGAGCTTTAACCTCTGCTTGAAGTCACCGTAGAGGATTCTGCTTGGGAATCCCTTTCTGCAGATTCTGATGCCCTCCAGCACACCGTTACACCTCAGCTGATGGATAACCAAGAAGTTATCCAGCAGGGCTGCACAATAATAATGAAAATTATTGTTATCACAACATCAGTGAGTGCACAAAGTAGTTTCTAAGACTGCAAGAAATCCAAAACCATTATGTATTTGGAATAACATTTATTTCTGTTCTGCATGCACTTAATTTTTTAGGTCAATACAGTTAATTATCACTGGCCTTGATGTCCAAATGTGACTTCAACAACAAGATCACACTTTTTCCCCCTAATATTTTTAGTTAATTTTCAGAATACTTAGCTACTACGAAATCTTTCATGGTAGCACAAACAGTGCTCATTGAAAACTATTACTAAGTCACATATTTTCATACAACAATCAGGGCAATGTGATCATACCTGGGGTCTTTGTTTCATTGGGGATCAGGCAACGCACAAAGTGAGGATGAGTGCTCCTCAAGTTGGTCATCAGCTTGGCCAAGTTCTCCTGTGAGTCAACATTGTTTTGTAAAATGTCAGCAATTTTTCAGCACAAGGTTCTCAATGGTTTATAAAAACTTTCAAAGTTTACATACCCTGAAAAGAGCAGACACAGTCTGGAAGGAACCACCCTTCTTCTTACCCGCCTTCTTTCCACCACCAGACTCAGCTGTTAAAAGATATGTTAAATATTATATTTCTGCTATCCATCAATTTACTTTATAGTGTATGGTGTTTTATAGGATGTAGATGATATACTAGTTTTTTTTAAACACAATACAGGCCAAGTGTGTATGCAAATATTTTTCTAGCTTTTCTGTCCATTTTTTTCCAACTACAATTTTATTTTCTATCTTACCTTCAGCTGAGGCATGGGCTGCATAGAGGAAGCACAGCAGTTTGTTTCCAGACTTCTGGTAGAGCTGAACAACTGAGTCGTTCAGTGGGTCCTTGTTCTTGTCCAGCCAGCCAGTGATGTTGTAGTCCACTGTACCAGCATAGTGAACCAGGGAGAAGTGAGCCTCAGCYTTGCCCTTKSCAGGCTTTGGCTTCTCAAAGGCCTTGGTCTTGCCAAGATGCTGATCAATCAGCTTGTTCTTGAAAGTTGTATCAGAGGCCTTGGGGAACATGCACTCCTCTTCAAGGATGGAGAAGATGCCCAGTGGCTGGGAACAAATTAGGAATTGAAATTGAAAGTTAAAACAATGTTATAATACTAAAATCACATAGTGATTATTTATACTTGTACTCATAAAACAAATTCATCATTACAGCTTCTTACCTTCTCAATAAGCTCAATGCAGGCAGCCAAGTCCATACCRAAGTCAATGAACTCCCACTCAATACCCTCCTTCTTGTACTCTTCTTGTTCCAGCACAAACATGTGTTGGTTGAAGAACTGTTGCAGTTTCTCATTGGTGAAGTTAATGCAGAGCTGCTCCAAGCTGTTGAACTGTATAAAAAGAAGCATTATTTAAATTCACAGGAAAAAATTCTGATCTTTAAACTGTTCAGGTTTTTAAAAATAACTCACATCAAAGATCTCAAATCCAGCAATGTCCAACACTCCAATGAAGAATGCTCTTGGCTGCTTTGTGTCCAGCATCTCATTGATACGGATGACCATCCACAAGAACATTTTCTCATAGACAGACTTGCACAGAGCTGAGACAGCATTGTTGACCTAGAGGAAAGGTTTTAATCACTTTTATTTGTTTAGCCTATCTTCTACAACTGAAATTGAAAAATGTTGACACAAGGTGACATTTGTAATATTTTTTGGGGAAAAAATTTGCAGCATAGATTTAATTACCTGTGGGACGGTCTGACCTTTGGTGACCATCTCATTTCCGACTTTGACTCTTGGGTAGCACAGAGATTTCAGCATATCAGCTGAGTTCAGGCCAAAGAGGTAGGCAATCTTATCAGCCACTATTCAAACGAAAAACAAGGTGTTAAATTGTTTCAAACTAATCTTACACACTAGCAAACAAACAATGACAGTAACAGTTTTTTATCAGTTACCCTCAGTGCCGTCTGGTTCAGCCTGCTCCTCACGCTGCTTCTGCTTGAATTTCATGTTTCCATGATGCATCACAGCACCAGTCAGCTTGTAGATGTTGATTTTCTCATCAGCAGTGAAGCCCAAGATGTCAATTGCAGTCTGCAAAAGTACAATGTAACATTAAATCGGGGAAAAAAAAACAACAGATTTACTCTTCAAAATTTGTACAAGAATCAAAATTAAAATGATCTTTACATCTGTTGCAATGAACTCTTCCACGTCATTGATGCTCTTGACTGTGATTTCACCCTGGCTGATCATGGGATAATCATAGGGGTTGGTGGTGATCAGCAGAGCCTCTGCAAAGGATTAGAAATAATGCATGCATTATACAAAGTGTTGTTTTTTATGTATTCAAAATACAATATTCCATTTGAGACAGGCCTTGGTTTTGAGATTGGTCTCGAGACCACTTTTTGATGGTCTCTGTCTAATCTCAAACTGGACTGCATGTGCACCCGGTTTTTTTTCGGTCTCAGATATTAAGGACTTTAGATTTTATTTCAAGACCAATCAAGACAGTAAAATATCACTAATTTGCACAAATATTGTACAATATGTTTGTTACCATCCTTGCTTTCATTGGATGCAACTTAAACCAATTTTTGTCCAAGTGTGACTCATTGCTAATTATGGATTTTTGTTATCATTCACCCATCCCCATTCCCTTTCACTCACACACGGTAATACAATACTACAAAATTCACATCTTCTATTAACATACCCAGAAGTTCAGGCTTGTGGCCTGTCATCAGCTGATAGAAGATATGGTAGCTCCTCTCAGCAGACAGCTGGAAGGTGACACGGGACTTCTCCAGCAGATCTAGGAGAAACCGATAAAATTGGTGAATGTAAAAATGTTGTTCTGAAGCACATATTTCATATTCAGGATAATTCAAGCACAGACAATACATTGGATAAAACTTACAAGTTTCAATATCAGCTGAAGACAGCTTTCCAGAAGTGCCAAAGTGGATCCTGATGAATTTACCCTAGACAAGCACGTTCGTATTAGTATAAGTTTATGTATAATATAGAGTATATTATTCATGTAAAATTAACTATGTTTTTTAACACTCACAAAACGAGAGGAGTTGTCATTCCTCACAGTCTTGGCATTACCATAGGCCTCAAGCAGAGGGTTGGCAGCAACAATCTGGTCCTCAAGAGAGCCCTGCAAATTATAATTTAAAAAAATTTGTCTTGTTTCCATTTAGGATTGTTTCTTGTAAGCAATTTGTAATCACATTTACCTGCATTTTGCCAGAGGTTTGGGCTGCTGCTTCTTTTTTGCCAGCAAGAGCTGCAATTGTTGCAAAGTACTGGATGACACGCTTGGTGTTGACAGTCTTTCCAGCACCGGATTCTCCGCTGGGGTACAAGAGAATGTTTTTAAACATTATGTTTCATTCAGTTTTTAAATTTCTTTAAGATAAGTATAAGTGATATTCAAGGTGGTGRTGTACTCACGTAATCAGGACAGACTGGTTCTCACGATCTGAAATACAAACAATCAAYCTTCAMAAATTCAGCTCACAATTAAAGTACTTTTTTATTTTAAATTTTTCTTACCAGTGAGCATGAACTGATAGGCATTGTCAGAGATGGAGAAGATGTGGGGTGGAGCCTCAATCCTCTTCTTGCCTCTGTATGCTCCCACAACAACAGCATCATACACAGGAAGCCACTTGTAGGGATTCACGACCACACAGAACAACCCAGAGTAGGTCTGACAGAGCAGAGAACAAACAATATATATTTTTCACATATAGCCATTTAAGAATTTGTCTTTATTTTAAAGCAGTGATGTAAAAACTTACGTAGATCATCCATGATGCAAAACGATCTTTAAGGTTAAACAGCACACAAGGCTCATTGAGGTGGGTCATCATGGCCATGTCCTCAATCTTGTCAAACTTTGGAGGGTTTCTGGGATGGATGTCCTCTTCTTTTACAGTGACAGTCTGAATTAAAAATTAGATGTTAAACATCACTAATAAATGTTTACATATAATTTACTGAAAACAAAATAACCATATCTAAAATTTGTACAAAAACTTTGGCTACCTTTCCTCCATCAGTCTCCACAGTGGCTTTGCCACCCTCTTTTTTGATCAGTTTACACCTGACATACAAGTCATCATTATCAGCCACAAAGTAGGCAGTTTTGGCATCAAAAGGGGTGTTTTGAGCCTCAATCCTCTCCTTTTCTGGCTTCCGGAGGTAAATAGCCGCCGGGCCATACTGCTCCATCTCAGCGTCTGTGCTCATGATGGCACTAGTAGTGGAACCTGAAATAAATGTTCACAAATATTTATTTTTTATCTTTCTCAAAGGCAAAACATACATACACACACATACATATGCTTATAAACGCACGCGCACACACGCACACACAAGATGTATATATATTATATATATATAGCTAGATGGATGGATGGATGGATGGATGGATGGATGGATGGATGGATGGATGGATGGATGGATGGATGGATGGATGGATGGAT